TTCCGGCCAGCTTCATTTGCACGTATTCAGATCGGGCTGCAGGGTCAAGGCTAAAGAACAAATCCAACTCATCGGTATTTTTTACGAGAAGTTTGGAGACTAGCAACTGCACTTTTAAGTTCAAACCTTCAATTTCTTTCACAGAAGAAAAAACATCCTTACGAGCATTTGAAACATCATAGTCATATTCTATCCTTTTCGCAATTTCCTCCAAACGAACACTTGTATTTTCAACATAATTTTTCATAATTTCATAAAGAGGATCAACACTCTGACTTGACTTTCGTTTACGCCCGACGCTTTTTTTTTTTGTCCCCGTAGAACATGGTTGGGTGCTCTCTGACATTGTCTCGTTAACCTCTTCTTCCATTTCAATGTTGACATCGTTCATATCCATATCCAGAGGTTGAGACAAAGAACGAGCATGGTAGGATAAATTGACATTGCTAGCAGCATCAAAAAGGTCTTCAGCTTGATGTCCCGTCCCCCTGTCCTTTCCAAATATCTCGATCCAGTCATAATAATATGGCCACGATTTGTGGCGCATGTGACGAGCATTAGCATCAACCTGATGTTAAACAAATCAAAAAATTACTATAACAATTTTTCATTACGAGAAAAATTGAATACACAAAAGCTTTCTAGTTTTAGAACAATGGCTAAAAATATTGTAGTCTCTTAAACATACCTTCACACACTCCGCCCATGCTTCGTCAGTACATTCAATCATCATGTCTGATTCATTCCATACAACACCAGTTCGTGATAGCATAGTACATAGAATACCATAATCTTTCTTCCAAACATGGATTTTCAAGTTGATATGGGGCATACCTCGCAAATTATTGTCTGGTAATTGTTTCACCAATTCTTGCGCAATAACGTTGAGAAATCCCATTTTGAACCCATTTTCAGATTTCCATCCACTCGTGATGATTCCCTTCAGGGCAGCAATAAGAACTTCCTCCTCTCGTTGACTCTAACTTCTCCGGCCCTTATCAGCCTGTGGTTTTCTCTGTTTTGGGTTCATTGTTCCAGAAGAGTTCATCATTACTATATTGTACAATTGTAAACACACAAGTAAAACAACCATATACCTTATCAATGAAATACAATATTGCATCAGTATAAATACAAATACAGATAAATGGTTGTACACATTATTAAAGAAACAAAAAAATTGCAATCAATACAGATACATATACATGACTACTCATCAAATATGTAATAATTGCAGAAGCATGAAATTCAAAGTGTAGCAATCAGTACAATTGAGTTTTCATTACATCTCAAACCTAAAGGAATTCATATGTCTCACAATTTGACTTCAATGAAAAAAAAAAAAAACATTTCCACTAAGTTAATACATCTCCAATCGTTCATAGACACAGCCAATGTGTCTCTCCATTCACACCATTGGTCAGAGCTCTCAACACAATCAATAAATGAGATACAGGTGATCGTCACCATCTTTGTTTTGTTCATCTTCTCCGATCATCATCTCCATGGGATCCACCGGAAGCTCCGTCGAATAAATTATGCAGTAACACACAAGCCATAATCAGCCTATTTTGAGTTTTTATATCATAAAACGTCGGACTACGTAGAATTTCAAAATACCAAAAGACCTCTCGACCACGTTTCTAACTTTGGAGTAGGACATGTTGAAAAATTCGTAAGGGGTCTGAGGTGTAAGCCTTCCTTTTTCCCAATCTTTTAAATGATATCTCACACCCTTGTATGGACACAAAAAACCTTCACCATGTGTGCAGCCATTATCACATAGGTAATAGTCACCTACAACAGAAAAATATCAATTCGTTGTTTACTCTTTTTAATTTTTACAAACATAAAAATTTGTTTAACAATAAGCTTCATAAGTCAATCGTTTTCGATCATTACCTCTAGGGATTTTGAAGCTATTAGGTCTATTTATTGCATCTTTAAGAACATGACAATCGGCTGCAGAACCTTCCCATTCACACAAGACATATACGAAAAAATTTAGGTTACGGTCGACTACTCCTAGTACGTTCACAGCAATTTCTCCCATCCTAGTGCAATACCTTGGCTTATCAACTTCCGGTATTGTCACTCTTATGTGATTTCCGTCTAAGGCGCCTCCTATAAAATAATGTTTGCGATTCAAAAATTTAGATTGTTAATCACCATTACAACATCATTATAGCAAATTGTTATTTACTAAGCTTTAACATGGAAATAAACCTTGAACCATTTCCATCTATTGTTATTGTTGTTTGAATCATGAATCGGCTCAGGTATCACTAGGAGGATTGAATGAAGACGCAAAATCGTCGAAAGGACCTCATGTACGTAAATGCTCACAATATGATTAGACCTCTTATAGTCAAATTTTACAACCTTCATCTTCTTATGATGAGCAATAATAGAAAGAAAGAGTGCAACCTTCTCCGTAACTGATACATATTTTGAATCAGACAGACCGCCAGCTGTAAGGAGAAGGTAACATAACCTAGTGAAGGCTCCCTTAGTCATCCTCAAATTTTTCATATAATCTAACTCATTCAAGGATACCAAATTGTTCAAATGTTCTACTTGTTTAGGAATCCTATTCGCCATCACATACTTAATTCATTTTCTATTTTCTCCAGATGATTTAGACCTCTGGTCCACTCTTAATGCTACAACCATACTCATGAAAACTATACTTTCATTTAAGATTTCTTCCAAAACAAGAAAAAGTTCAGCCTTTCTCCTATTAATCTCGGTCATTGTAGGCAATACCTTAGATAATCTTTATGAAATAGCAGTTGTTAAATTTGTACAACAAAAATTGTGTATCATGCATCATTCTTGTGAAAAAAATCCACAACATACTTCACACTAAAATATACAATATTAAGAAAAGTCTTCTGGTCACTGTCTGAATACAAAATAGTGTAATTTCAAGGTCAAACAATCAACTTGGGTTAATATATTAGTTAATTTCACCCCTCACACGGACCAATTGGAAATCTACAATTTTGGACTAATATAAAATTAATACTAATTAAGTACGTAAGCAAAGTCTCGGGAAGCTTTACTATCTACCAGAAGCAACAGATAAACACCAAAAAGAAGCTACCAGATTCAAAAGCCCCAAACAATGACATATTTTCTCCCACAATCACAAATCAAGTATGCTATTGCAAGCTATGAAACAAGTTTCATGCACCATCACTACACCCAAACAATGAAGCATGAAACTAACAAGAAAGCAAAATATTGATATACACCATCACTACACCTAACCAATCAAGCATGAACCTAACAAGAAAGCAATATATTGACTGAGCAAATGGAACAAGTTTATGACATATAAGAAAATGGGATAAAACAAGTATACATAGGTATGTGATAGAAAATCAATCAAGAAGAGAAAAAGAAAGAACCTTTGTAGAAAAAACAACTAATGTTTGATGAGCTTCACAAAACTCAAGAACACAAGAAAAANTTGATGAACTTCACAAAACTCAAGAACACAAGAAAAAAGCCCAAACAATCAACTCAATGGAGAAACCAAACAGAGTCTACCTGAGCAATAAACTATTCGCAGCTTTATTTCTTCGAATAAAGCTTCAAAATCATGTTTGATGTTTGTTGTGTATTAATTAAGTATATTTTAAACAAGCTCTAGACAAGGCTACATGAAACCAGTTCAAACAAATATGTATTTCACACATAAATTTGTTGTAGCTACATACGGTGAGATTTGAGTTTTTTTACCTTAAGCAAGATCAAAACGAGTTGTGATAATTTAGACGATCCCAAATTTGAGTTCACCTATAACGAGTTCTGGAGGGTTCCTCGTACTTCGCGAAGAGCTTCCAGCCACGATGACAGAAATAAATTGCCAAAATCGAAGGACGTGAGAACACCTGCCGAACACAGAAACTTAGATTCCACAAACAATGAACTCGATGATGGCTGGGATGAAGAATTATTCTTACCTTCGGTCAGCAGTGATGGAAGAAGTGGAAGGAAGACATTTTGCAAACCTTAGTTTTTCGGCGGCGGAGGAGGAAAAATGTGGATCCAATTATTTATGTAAAAGGACATGTTGGTAAAATAGAAAAAGGGATTTAATAGTAGAATAGTTTATCCCATATGAGAAATGGGATGTTGAGTCCATATTTTTGTTTGTAAAGGTAGCGGGCCTAACCATTATAAAGGGCTTTTCATTAACCAACCAAGCAACTTAAACTTATGGATATAATAATAGAATGCATGATATCAAGCCCAATATGGGCAACCAAACTGACTCTTAGAGCATCTCCAATGTAGCTTTTGACATTATAAAAAATTATCCATATCATCAACTTTTGGAAGTGTGTTACTAATTTATTCTCAAATACATCTTGTCATGAACTCTTTCATGATGAGGTGGATAGAATTAAATGTTGACAATGTTTAACACACTTTCTAATATCTAACACTATGTTAAACATGATGACTAATCAATTCACTTTATATTTGATTTAATTTTTTATTGTTCTTGTACTAATGATTATTTTAACTGATCCACCTATACATATAACTTCTTATCAAATTGATGCATTGGAGATACTAGTTTGATTCAAATTTCTGCTCTTTTAACCTTATTCCTACATGGATTAACATTACAATCATTGATTGACATGTGTTAAAAATCATTGTCTTTCAAAGCTATAACATTGGAGATGCTCGTTAACATTTCAAAAGATTTCATTAATTTTTTTTCAAAAATAATTAATTCATTTTTTCATTTGTTGTGATCGAAGAGCAAATGGCTAGGTCGATGCCACCCTCGCGGGTGGCACCCGTTTTCACTGTACACCTATCACACGCTGACCCGTGGACAGAACCCATTTCACTTTTTTTTTTCACCTTTAGTTCGAATTTCCAGATAAGCAAATTATATTTCAGCTTTTTTTGTTTTTCATTTACCGGTGACCATAGTTAGGAACCATAGTTGCCAAACCTATTAGGTCTAAAATCAGATTCAAATCAGACCTGCGAGAGAACATTTGATTTCAGCTTTTTTTCATTTACCGCAATAAAATTTCATCGCCCGATTTCACGAGAGAACATCTATCTGCGAGAGAAATCCATCGCTCACTGGCCCGATTGCAGCATTCAACCCCGATTCACAGGTACGTAATCTTGGACGAAATTCTTCACCATTTCATCGACCGATTTCACAGGTAAAAGAGTTTTAAGAGGATAAAAGTTGTGATTTTGGAAATCAGTTCTGTGATTTTGAGGAATTAGGGTTCATCGCCCGATTGCAGCATTCAACCTTAGTTTTGTGTTTTCTATTAATTATTAGATCCATGTCATCATCTTTCTCTTAATTCTTTGCTTACTCTATTTTGTGTAGTACAAATTATAGCTGGGGTAATTCGGGTTTTTTTTTCTTTTTCTTCCTTTTTGTTTGTTTTTTCTGCTTTTGGGTGATTCAGAGAGTTTCTTATGTCTAATTGCATGTTGTTTTCCCCATTTAAAGTTCGATTTTTTATCTGTTATTCTAATATAATGTGCATATGCCTTTAGTTTAAAATAACAATCAATGTGATTATGCTAATGATTGTTGTCATATGTTTGACTTGCCATTTAATCTTTATCCTTGCAAATCTCCTAGGCACCATTGGTTTTCTTTCACGAGATCTTTGCTTTTAAGTTGTGCATTGACTACATTCTTTAGCTGCACATTAATGTTTTATCGTTATATGCTGTTACAATCTTATGTTCATTATTTGGCCAAAGTTTACTAACTTGTGAACACTCGCTGTTGATTTTCCTAATATATCTACATGTGCTCTTCATTCGAATAATTGTATAGGAAATCTGGACCACGTTTACTTTTGGATTTCTCCTTGTAAATCTTTCATGTGATGCAGTCATTGAGAATTTGTTCCTTAGTATTTTCTTTACACATGTCTGTTAGCCATATCGGATGAGCCTACCAGGTATATTTGAATTTTGAATGTATGCTTATGTACGACAATTACCTAATAAATGTTTTCATACCCGTTCTTTTGAGATAACGGTAAAATGTGAAGCCATTAGTCCATTGTTGTGTATTGTTGTGTCTCATTTTCTTTTTCTATGAAGCCACAACCCCTCGTTGGATATCTATGCCTAAGTTGAACCCATCTTTGAATTGCTTATTTTATTCAAATATCAATACTGCGATTTTTTCTTGCTTGTTCTATTGATTGAATTTGGATTTGGGTATCTAGTTGTTGCTTGAATAATAACATTCCAAATTCAAACTTTATTTTTTTGAAGGTTTGAAAATGTCACAGACTTCAACCACTAAGAAATTTGGAAGACCAAGTAGACTGAAGTATGAAGATAAAATATGTGACCAATGTGGAATCAAACTTGCAGTTAAGATTGCTGGCTCTCGAAGTCCAAATTTTCAGAAACTCTATTACATTTGTGATAGAGATGGATTTATTGGTTGGGCTAATCCAATAAATGAAGACGAAGTAAGCATAAGGGAAGAAATTAGCACAAGCGAGAAGGCTNATCTTTTCTCTTAACAAGTTGGTGTAAAGAGTTTCAGAGCTTGCTGGTGTTTTATTTCTCATTTTTTCCCTTGGATAAGTTGGCTGCAGATTGTGTTTGTCAGTTGTTTTCAATGTAGCATTCTTCATTTTTCCCTTGGAGTTGGATTAAAAGAAAGAAAATTGTCTTTGTAATGTTTGGCATTACAAACCACAACACAAGTCTACACATTCCCCTATTTTTTTGCTCTTACCTCAAGAGAGGCATAAATGGAAAAGAAAATTACATTCAAAGTACACCAGAAACAATATGTAGTAAAGCTATACACATATATTAGAACAATAATCTTATGTAGTCTTCTTTAAAATCATTGTTGTTCCACAATAATGCTTCACAAAAAACATCTTTAATGCCATACAACCAAAAGTCCATACAAAATACGTAACTCCAAACAAAATCCATAAGAACAGTACACAAAATGAATGTCACTAACAACACTATTACACCACAATAAAGAGTCAATCTAAAAATAGATGAGACGGTGCATTTTCTAACATCGGATCACCATTATCTTCAATTATTGGAGGGTCCCTACAAAAAATAGATTAAAATGGTAAAGATCATAACATTATTCAATATTAATTTACAAAATAATAGATTTGGTATGATGTACCTGTGATGAAAAGGGATCCACTTGATAACCAAAAAGATTAAATGGACCTACATTGATGTTTCCATCTCCTCCCTACACATTAAAAAATAAATAAATAAAAAGGTATTAATTTTATTAATATTCTTGTAGAACAAAGTAATAAAAGCATCATTTACCTCTTGATTTATGTTAGGCCAAAGCATCGGAGCCGGAGATGGATAATGTGGAACATAATTTGAGGGGCATGTGTTGACATCATTTTGAGAAGATTGATTCGGGCCACCAAAATTAATGTTTTCACTTTCTCCATACAAATTAAAATAAAATAAATAAAAAAAGTATTGATTTTATTAATATTCTTGTATAACAAAGTAATTAAAAAATTACTTACCCCTTGATTTATGTTAGTCCAAAACATTGGAGCATGAGTCGGATAATGTGGGACATAATTTGGCACTCCCATGTTGACATTATTTTGAGAATATTGAGTCGGGCCACCTAAAGTGATGTTTCCACTTCCTCCCTACAAATTAAATTAAAATAAATAAATTAGTAATATTCTTGTGGAACAAATTAAAGAAAACATCATTTACCCTTTGATTTTTGTTAGTCCAAAACACCGGAGCCTGAGATGGATAATGTGGGGCATTATTTGGCACTCCCGTGTTGACATTATTTGTCTTTCCCTACACATTAAAATAAAATGAATAACAAAATACCAATTTTATTAAAATTCTTGTAATCTTGTAGAATAAAATAATAAAAGCATCATTTATCTCTTGAGTCTTCTTTTTTGACCTACTTGAATTTCCCACCTTTCTTTGCCCCGTTCTTTTTTTTTTCTTTTTCTTGTCGTCCCAATGACGTGTTATTTGAGCATTTGTAACTCCCCTTGACTTGGTAGGAGGTGGATTGCGGACACGGACATTATCTTCATCAACCAATTCATCACATGAATCATCAATGTCCAAATTCTTCAAAAGAGAAGATATTTCTTCATTTGCTTCTTCAAGGATTTCAGTAAACCTACTTCTCGTCTCCCGGTGAGATTTACTTAAATGAACCAAGTCATAAGAGGTCCTCATCGATGATTTAAATACCATACCGTACCGGCCGGTAATACCAGTAATACCGGATACCGGCCATTGGTACGGTACAATTACACGCAAAATATCGGATTTACGGTTATACCGGTTTGTACCAGGATCATACTATAAATACCGGTCCAAAATACCGGTCAATAAAAAAAATTAAAAAAAAAATAAAATTTATTAATATAAAAATATAAAATTTAAATTGGTAGTTAAAATGTTTTATTTTTATCTCATTGAGAAGTTGAAATTAATGATTATGGCCATTTATTTTATTACTTTCTTGCATTTGGTATTATATATATTTATGTATATTGATATATATCATTATATTTGCTAGTCCGGTAATACCACCGATAATACCGGTCCGACCGGTAATACCGCGTACCAGTGGCTAGACAGGTATGACCACCGGTACGGTATTTAAAACACTGGTCCTCATTGCATAGTTCACAAACATCAACTCAGAAACACCACCATTTCCATGAGGAGTATATCCTCTTTCAAATTCATTACAAAACATTTGTTCCTCTTTTCTTGACCAACGACTCATGATATATGGCTCGGGAAACACAATGATATTCATATAAATGAAAACCTTTAGTGCATGTATACATAGTATTCCCATTGTTTCCAACAAATGACAGGAGCAATTCACTTCAATATCATTTTGCCGAAAAAACACTTGCCTAACTTTTGAGTTGTCGGTATGAGACCCAAATTGAATCCAAGCCAACCATTACCAATATCATTCTGAGCAATAATTGCAATATTCAAAGACTCAACAAATTCTCGCTTGAATAACTTATATATTGAGAAAGTATATACTTCAGCGACGTGCGACAACAAGGGATTATTTTTAACAATTTGGCCCGACCTCCCATGGCTACAATGAGCATCATCATCTTTCTCAGTAGCCCTCCATTTCTTTTGGACCTTTTCATAGTTCAAAACAAATTGGTGCAAAGTAAGATTCTTATTACCCAAATCTTTCAAGACATGATTTGTTACCTCACTTCTTGAAGTGGCTAGTAGAGCTGCACAAAATTTGTCATTACTAAAAATTGTGGCCCATCTCTTTCTCAGTTTGTACATACCCTTCAGCCATCTGTGATCATCATCACTGTACTGATCAATCATTCGCTTCCATGTAGCCTCAAATTCATCTACAGAATCACAATATGTCATGCATATATGCCATAGTTTCTTAAACTCCAATTCACCATTCAAACTTCCTAAATGGGATGGAGCATTTTAATTGATATACCATTGACATAAACGATGATGCGAATGTGTGAACACTTTATCAATAGCATTCATCATAGCTTGACATTGATCAGAAAAGACAACTTGGGGCTGTTTCCCATTCATAGAATCGAGAAATGTGGAAAATAACCACTCACATGAACTTTCAGTTTCATCGGACAAAAAAGCCAGGCCAAACATCAAGTTTTTTTATGGCGATTTATACTGAAAAATAGAGCACAAATCAAATTGTACTTATTTGTTTTGTAAGTCGTATCAATAGATAGCACATGACCAAAAAACTCATAATCAATTGCACATCTATGATCCCTAAAGAAAAAGTTCATGATCCGATTATCATCATCCATCTGGACATTCCAAAAAAATTGATTTTCCACATTTGCTTTGTTTATAAAATATTGAAGCAAACTAGCAGCATCTCCATCTTCAACTTTAGTTTGCCTCTTTAGACGACTGAAATAATCATATGCATCTTTTACGGCAAAACCCAAATTATTTGCACCATGAGCCTTATTTTCCATAAAATAAACGGCATTTGTAACACTAATTCCCGCATTCACCATAGCTTCTAAAGTAGATATTTTGGCATGCGTGATATTATGAGATGATCTCAACAAATGAGTTTGATCAGATTGAATCATCTCATGATTGTGCTCAATATAAAACCTACTCACTTTTCAGTCCCCTTCCCTCTCCCTCGTAATTCTAATTCTTGCTTTGCAGCCTGTTCTAGTTATTGATTTTTGATACTCAGGAATATTGTTTCTAGAACGTCTTTCATCCTTAACTCCTTGACAAGAACATTCAAATTCTTTTATTCGTAGTTCTTTAGTGCCCGAAAAGTACCCTTGATCAGCTTATCTAACCCTAAAACCTTTAGCATGTGCATATTGACAGTAGAGCAAATATGCATCTTCAATGTTATTCACTTTCATGCCAACTGCTAGTCTACTTTCTAAATGTTCTACTACAGATTCAAAAGATTGAACCTTAGAATTTGGTGGAGGAGAAGAAAACTTGAGTCAAAACCACAAGCATATGTCATTCTTAGTCTTGTAAACATTGCTTAAATCCTATCAATTAACACATCTTCATAGTTATTAGTAATGCAACCTACTTAATTAGAGATGAAGAAACTGCGGCACCTTAGTCTTGACAAAGACACAAGAAATACTGGAATTCTTGCTCAACAAACAAAAAAATATATATAAAAATGAAAACCTTACAGTCCAATTTCAAGATATTACATGCAAAGATGTCAATTTTCAACCCCTGCCACATTGAATTAATTTCATAGTTTGCAAATTGATTACAAATTCTTCAAATTAAAACCCTAATTGACCCCCTCCAATTTGAAGAGAGAAATTTAAACCCAATTCAAATTAATAAGAAAAAAAAACTACAATCGCGAAGGAACTTGATTACATCACACAGACCAACAGAAAAACATAAACAAGAATTGTGAACTCAAAACACAATTCAAATGGGTCCTCCAATTCAAATTTAAACCCATTTAATTACACTCCAACTTTATATGCANCTTGATTACATCATACAGACCAACAAACAAGAATTGTAAACTCAAAACATAAACCTTAACATATAGGGAAATTATAAAAAGTACCCTTAATGTACCTGTGAATTGGGAGAGAATGCTACAATCGAGATGAACTTTCTTCCACAATCCCTCGTGTCTCGCTGGAAACGGGCGAGATGCTCCAATCGGGCGAGATTCTTCAATCGAGAATTCGTAGATATGGTACAATCGGGCCTTTCTGCTACAATCGAGATTCTTCAATCAGAGAGATGTTCTCTCGTGAAATCGGGCGAGCGATGAATTTTTTTTTTAGGTCTCTCAAAGTTTCAAATTTCAGATCCAAATTTTGATTTTTCAAACATTAACCATGGTTACCTGTAAATGAAAATAAAAAAAGCTGAAATGTAAGTTGCCTATCTGGAAATTCGAACTAAAGGTGAAAAAAAAATAAAAGTGAAATGGGTTCTGTCCACGTGTCAGCGTGTGATAGGTATACAGTAAAAACGGGTGCCACCTGCGAGGGTGGAATCGACTTAACTGAAGCAGTAGTACTATTGTGTGCCCTGGCACACCTTGCTAGGTGTGCCAGGGCA